AGTTGCACAATGATGATGACAACAATACGAATCACAGGTTCAATTAGTTGTTTAACTAATTCATGTTCACGGATTCTAACCCCGTTGAACAATTCCATTCAATGATGCACGCAGAGAAGTAGCACATAACCATGCATATCGTTTATGCGTGGTCAAAAATACAACAACTGAGACAAATGTGCTTTGGTTTTCGGGTGCGGCGGTATGCAGCAGTATTTGTAGCGTGGATTAAAAACAACAATTCCTGCATTATTGTGCGATTATGAAAAAGTTCAGTAGTCAACATAGAAACTTCAAATCTGCCAAACAACCATTTGTACAATTAACCTTGTCTTAGATGTTGAATTTCGTGAATTCCGGTGAATGCTGACGAAAACCTATCGGAGCAGTCCACTTACATACTAACTGGTGGGTACCATATGCCTCTGTAGATTAGATGGATAATTCGAAATGTGAAGAAAACGACCAGTTCAGACCAGTGTGGCCTTGTAGGTCAGCTGGTAGAGCATATGCTGTACACGGGCGTAGTCGGCGTCTGTGGGGCAGTTCGAATCCCACCGAGGCAACGGAACTTTTCACAATCCCAACAAAAAAATTTCAATCTGCCAAACAACACGTCATGCATTATTGTCATGTTTGTTCTTGAGCAAAAATACCACAAGGAATGATGTTTATGATGAATACTCACTTCTGTCAACGACCGCCATAGATCATCGTGCACCGTGTTTTTGAACTTGTGTCTTGACAAATAGTTCTACAATCAACCAGAACATATACCCAGATATCGTTCAACTGTCAATGCAAATTTTGTGCATGTTTGTAAAATATTGATATGCAGTCAAACGATTCCACCATGGTTGACATTTAACACTTGAACTAAATAAGTTATCGGGGTTCATATTTACTGGATTTCACAAAGAGAAATCACATTGTCTTCGGTTGGAAGATAGCGTACATCAGATTGTGAATTTGCAGCAGACAAAGTGAAAAAATCAAAATGGATGAAGTTCACACTGTTTGCATAAATCGATAAGTTATTGATAACAGAACAAACAAACGTTAGGGTACATATGTACATTCGAACATGTTGGCCCAGAATACCTTCCAGCATACAAATACTGGGATTTAAGAAAAACATGCTATGAACAACTGATGTGAATGTCCGCTAAAAATAAACTACATACATTTCCGAGTTTTTCAATGATAGTTTATCCTCATTCTCGTTGTAGTTTTATTGACTTTCATGTACTACACAATCATTTAAACCGGCCAAACAAAAGCTTTTCAAATAGTTCAGGTACATTGATTGTTCGGCAAAAAAAATTACAGCGAAAATCCGTATCCCTGTCCAATATTATTATTTTTTTCAAAATATAAATACAAAAAATAATGTGACTCCAAATAGTTGTGTTCAAGGAAATTGCTAGGAAATTTAGAGGATAGAAGTGATCGAATCATTTTGTACACCGCACTGTTCGCAAATTAGAAAGCGGAAAGAGAATTTATCAGAAGGTTAGTCAATGAATATCTGTTAAACTGAATAGAAAGCTGCTTTCAAGAACCTTCGTTCGGAGTGACAGAACCATAATCTAACGACGAACATTAAACTATATTTAGGCGCAAAGTACTTGAACTTTGTTTGGGAAATGTTGTGAGAGTAACATATTGTAGGTATTCTATTCCTATCTGATTAGTAAACTTACGTTGAAGCACGTGATGAAGGTAGACATGAAAAATGAACTTGCTAAAAATCACACTGTGTGAATCTTTTGACGTCAATTATGAGAACATCAGCCATTAGTATCACCTCCTCACCAAATCGATAATTTGACGAAGCAGATTACGATTTGATAATGATCTAATGAATTGTGCAATTTCACATTTAAATATACATAAAGGTTTAGTGAATCCACAGTTTATTGATGAAATTACTGGTACGTATCCCTCTCATCTGAGATCGATCTCCTAGTGAACATACAAGAATTAAGTAGAATACTGAATTTCAATGTTCACTACTTAAATAGTATTCAGTAGAACAAATATGGTCACGTCAATTATGTACCGTATTTCCGTGCCGTGTGATATTGAACTTCTAATCTGTGGTCAAAAAGTAAGGGACAATCATTCATACAGGATAGGTTGATACTCGAACAAGGAATTCGTGTCGTTTGGGGGACTAGATTGCGAAGTCAAGGACTTGCACCACACAGTTAATTTCAGTCGTTTTTATGAGCTTAAAAACTCCCACCACAATACTTGAGACCAAACTGAACGTTAATTTGATAGACTTAGTACTGGGTAAGAAAGTTTGCTTGTTTAAGGAAAATTAAGATTACAACAAAAAAGCGGACGAGTTGCGATAAACTCTGTGTCGTAGGATGAATTTTAACCATCCCACAGATCAAGCATCTTCAGATGCTTTCGCTTCACTGAACGTGTCACGGTCATTTTGAAAATCAAAATTTTGGAATATTATGTGTTATCTTCAAACCATAGATATATGAAAACCGGATAAGACTTTCTCAGACTGTTTTGTGGACAACATTGGTGTGGGTCAGTGCATTACCTCCTTTTCGTGAAAGAAATTTTATACCCTCTTTTGTGTTCCTATCCGGAGAGTCCGTTTGCAAATTGCTTCTGAGTGGAGGGGACGTTTGACGCGTTACACTTTAACAAGAATAGCATGACATCTGATCAAAATGTTTAAGCACGTAAGCACTTAAATGCATTGATTGTCTTCACCTCGGGTACTCAGGAGCTATACTTCACTAGGTTTCTGATATGAATCGACAGTGATAGTCATTTATTGGTCGACACACTTCATTGGATCAATCATTTTCCGTTTCACTTCAACCCGTCGACACTGGTTGAGGAAAACACTGAAATTCAATGAATAGATAACTGTCTTTTACTTCCTTTTTTACTTATTAAATATACAAATGTATAAACAATTTTCAGGACGAGGGCGGTGACCATACAAAGTTAACAGAAATGGGGATTGTGGGAAACGATGAGGCGTGTCCAACCCCCTCGATTTCCGGGTCAACATCGTGATGACCTTAAAGACATAACCATCACTTATCTAAAAAGCGGACGAAGTGTGAACGTGAGAACTTTGGAACAAAGCGATCCGAATGAAATTAGCAGCCTTTGGTTGGTACGTTCATATTTGCTGATAAATTTCTCAGCAAATCCCCCGGGGCATACAATTTAAGGTCAATCGTGCAACGTATGGGAATGTAGCTCATCTTGGCACCACATGGCCAAATAGGCTGATGAGTTCCACGAAATCACTTGTGAGAAGATCAAGAATTCTGATTTAACCTCGTAGATCAGATGCTATGACTTTTAAATTCATAACTGAACAACCATTCATGATGATTACTAACTATCAGTAATTGGCTGAATCAGTTTAGTAAACGGATAGTTTAGCTTAATGCATATAATTTTTGATTCCCCTGTTTGTTTGTTTTTGGAATTGTGAACTATTCCAGAGCTTCGTTGAAATTCAAACTCAGGCCTAAACTCTGTCTAACCCCTTGTACTTACGTACGGTTTACTCGCTCGGCTGCAAGACTGCAATGCAGTAGCTCAGATTCTTCACATATGGCCGCTCAATCAAATTACTGAGTTGGATGATTTTGACGTGAGGCTGGAAAATCAACCAAACCACCCTAGTAACAATCATGTCAACCATGGCCATTCATGCGGTGATTGAACCGGAGTGAATCGTGACAAGAGTAATTATCTGTACAGTATGTCCAAATATTTTTTAAGGGATTATCGTTAGTTCAAATCCGAGTATGAAGATTATATTTTTTGAGTATAGAATTATGCCCGATAAGGTCAATGCTGTTAAGTCAAACAGTGGTTAACCAGGCCACCCATGGTGTACACTCGTTCCGGGGTTCGGGGTGGAGATGGTTTTCCATGATGTGGAGTATCATTTACGTGTGAGATATCAAAGTAAGTCACTTAATATCTCTTCCCTTGTACTCCTCCATGCGACCCGTCCCCAACTGTCTAAAACATTGATCTGATGGAACTCGATCCCTGCAACATTTTCACATTTCTAAAGCTTCGTAGAACTAGCAAATCCGGGTCATCGTGATTAGATCATTCCCTCTCGAATTACCTAAATTTCATCATGGAATGTTTACATGTTGAGTGCCATCAAAATGGATAAATCACGTGTGCACAGTAAAATTATGATAATAAATATTTCATCAATTCTATCATTTTCAACTGGGAATTTGTCGTGTATATGACAGATGAAGCGTAAACTGAAAAGCTAGGAAGCGCAACTGGACAGCTGTTTCGACCTCACTGGGTCCCATCAGCAGCAGTGCGCGAATCCTTCGACCCAACTGGAGGGATCGAATCCGGGATCTCATGAGCAGAACGCAAGCATACTACCCACTTGGCCACCCATGGGCAGCTGATCAGATCGCTTCTCATTTTCCATTTACACAATATAGCACAATCCATCTTTGCGAGCTTGTTGTAGGCCACAGACCTCGCTCATCTCAGCACTAGCACATTCACATAACCTAATTACTTGTTTCAAGTATTCAATCCCCAGTTGGGTCGATGGATTCACACTGTTGATGAGATCCAACCAGATCGAAACAGCTGTCCACAGCTTCCTAGTTTTTCCAGTTCAAGCTTCATTTGCTATATACACGACGAATTACCATTTGAAATTTGATCAAATCCTCCGTTACCGACTTGAAATTCTGTCTTTGTTTACCGGCGAATGCAGAGTCACGGTCAGACGTCTGATCTGGAGTAATTTTGTTCGGATTCTCCTATCCACTCACTCACGCAATGTTTGCCCGGCAGCGTTTGTACAACAAACTACAACCCCGATGCAGTTATTATTTTAGATTCGATTGCCTGTTACTGTGGTTCTTCAGACACTTGGAGATGAATTTGTAAAAAGAAACTTATGATTATCCACCAATTTTACTGGAAAACAAATCATCTGTGGTCAAAAATATGAATAAACATTATATTTGTTTGTTTTTTTCAATTTCTCGGCTGAGAACATACCTTTAAACCGAGACGGAAAGCATTGCGGCCCATGAATGACTCCATCATGCGAAGCACGGCAGCACCCTGAATTTTTTTTTTTGGGGGGGGGATGAAGAAGAAATACGAGACTAATTTTTTAAGATTTTAATAGTAAAACGTATTAGTTTCATTGGGTTGATTGATGTTTTACATCTAACATGACCCATGGATTTGCGATTCACGCGCGCTGCTATAAATTTCTGGATCCTGTGTTTTTTTTGTTTTGGCAATTCCTTGTGGGACACCATTTTTATTCAAATAAAAATGATAAAAAATTATTAATAATATTGTTATTGAAATTACTGAAACTATCAGTTTGCATGGGGACAAGGTGACCTAATCCTTTCACGGGTAACTAATATCATGTGATTGCAAAGTTAAAAGTTATCAACATTGTCCCCCATTGTCTGGCGTCTTAGATTGCACAAAACTGTGTTGTTTGCCGGTGCAAAATCGCAGCCACTTGTTTTTTTTTTGGGGGGGGGAGGCACAGTTCTATGCTATTACGCGTATATGAGTACTTTCATATTCACTAAAGGATTGTCAAATAACAAACCCAGACTATTTCTAAAGGTTGAGGGAAACCTATCAAAGTGTTTTGACTTGTTCCCGGCTAAACATCATCGCAGGGGTGAGTGGGTTTGACCTGTAGTCTCATCCAAGGAGCTATTGTAAAGTTATATAGGCCTCGGGAACTGTGCAAATATTTGTTTCTGTACGCAAATTGAATTCATCGTGTTGAAACTGTGAAAACTTCAGTATCCTTGGTGGAATTCGAACCCGCACATGGACACCACCTACTCTTTTGTATGTTGCACGCTCTATCAACCAAGGTACGAGGCCCTCCCCGATGGCACTTATCTTTTCTCATTCGAATCATCCATCGGAAATGTAGGTGGCGTACATGCGTGGGTTCAAATCCCATTTCAAAATTTTGACATAAACCTTCAATCTGTTAGAAAAGAAGTTGAATTTTTACAGTGATCATTAGTGAAAATTATAGTTTCCATATTGCGAGGCTGCTTTGTATTGTAAAGGAGAATGTGTTGGTCTCGGTAATTTCAAACAAGATGTGATTCATCTAATTCTCTTCTAATCACATTGTAAATCGTCCCATTTTTTTCTGTTCGTGAAGACTATGTCATATGTGCGAAGTGACGGGTTCAAAATGAGGCAGACTCACCTTGTTATACGAAATCGGATCGAATATTTCATTGATTTCGTTTGGATAGTACACCGGTTGAAATACCGGTCGAGAAGTTGATAGCGAGTCACTGGTCAGAACCTTTTGCATATCATCCAGCAAAAACTGTTCATCCTGAAATCGTATGAGGTAATACGGGAATACGTAAAGCGAGTAATGATTAGAAATCGCTTGTGTTCGTGTGATGTGCTCGGGTTTGCTAATGATTTGGTCGCGGTAGCAGACAATGGGCTTGTTTAACGATAAAGGATATTAGACTACTTTTGTGTTCTTCATGGGGACGCATCGTTCTTTTTGATTGTCCTTACCAGGACGCACACTGTAAACCAAACCAGTTATCCCCGAGGTGAAACAGCTGACAACCAAAACCTTGTGCATATGGACACACATATTATTTTAAAATGTTTTTTTAGATTAATTGAAAAAAAATAACATTAAAGTCTTCACAGGAAAACGAAATGGTTTACAATTCTGACGGATACGCAAAAAAAAACGACCAGCAACAAGGAATTAACTAAGTCGTAATGAATGAAGTCCAAATAAATTTGGTTTTTGTGAATTCGCTTGAGGGGCTAAACCAAAACAGATCATTCCACTTTGCGATATACAATAATTGATCGAAAAAATAGAATGCATAAAAACGACATCTTTGACGAGCTTCTTCACTACTATGTGTCTATCTGACGATGTGCAGTGATGATAGGTACATTCAGACAACTGTTATCTTCGTCTGTTCTTAAGTATCCAGGTAAGTCACACAGAGAGCCAATGCCGAGCAATTTGTTTTACTCTCAGTTGAATCATTTGATATTTCTACCTATAGGTTGATCAATACAGATCAATAGATCAATTTAAAAAAAATGCGTCTACTA